ATCCTCGAACTTCGACCAATTTCTCGAGACCACGGAATACAGGCCGCTCTTACACAGACCCCAACAATGATCATCCGCGACGATCTTCAGCCGATGATACAAACGTGAGATCTGGATCGAGGTCCAGAACTAGACGACCCGATGATGATTCTCGTCCACGAGCGAGTGGTCCTTACGAATTGCGACCGATTCCTTCGAGGACGGAATTGTCGACTGACCAACCTCCCGATTCTGCGGACCGAACCGATAAGGAATTGACTTCGCCAGTCAAGACAAGTTTTGGGTTCGGCGGAAACGGTACCAAATCCTCAGTGCGCGCCGATATTAAGAAATATCTTCGAGAAAGACGTCAGCGAAGAATTGGACCTGGCGCAAAACCAACATGGAAAGACCGCACCAAAAGACAGCTTGGAGAGTTCCACCAAAAGGTCATTATCGAGACAATTCTTCGCCAAAAACCCCTCGAACCTTTACCGGATGGCCGCCATATTCCCCTCAATCCACCGCAGCGAAGTGCCAATGGTCTTATCGACGAGCGTGCAGGAAAGCCATACTGCAGCAATTTCATCCGATCAAGTCGCTACACTATCTACGATTTCTTCCCGAAACAGCTCATCTTTCAGTTCAGCAAGCTTGGAAACTTTTATTTCCTCGTTGTTGGTACTATTCAGATGATTCCTGGTCTGAGTACTGTCGGACGATGGACCACTATTGCACCCCTGGGCGTATTTGTCGCATTCAGCATGGCCAAGGAAGGATGGGACGATTATAGGCGCTATCGGCTTGATCGTGTGGAAAATCGAAGTGAGGCTTGGGTTTCGACGGATCGAACTGCGGAAAAAGGCCGCGTGAGACACGCTGAGAAAATGAGGAGGAAAAAGGAAAAAGTGTCTGAGAGTGGTGAAGAGCACATGCTTGATGATCTCGAGTCAGGCACCGCAGGTACTGCCAAATTGGGTGGAAAGGGAGATTGGACTTCGGTTCAATGGCAGCATGTTCGTGTTGGCGACGTCATTCGTTTGCGTCGAGATGATCCTGTTCCTGCGGATATTGTGCTTTTGCATGCCACTGGACCCAATGGCATCGCGTACATCGACACCATGGCTCTTGATGGTGAGACGAATCTCAAGAGTAAACAGGCTTGTCCTTTACTTGCCGAGCGATGCAACACTCTCGAAGGACTACGGGCGACACAAGCTACTGTCATCTCCGAGAATCCCAACCTGGACCTTTACAGCTACGATGGTCGAGTGACTGTCGACGGCGAAACTCTACCACTGTCCATGAACAATGTCGTTTACCGTGGATCCACTCTCCGTAACACGGCTGAGGCCCTCGGTATCATTGTGAACACAGGCGAGGAGTGCAAGATTCGAATGAACGCCAACAAGAATGTCCGCGCCAAGAAACCCGCTATGCAATCAGTTATCAACAGGATGATTATGGTCCAGATCTTCATCGTTCTCATGCTCACAATGGGTCTAACCATCGGTTACTACCTGTGGCGAGATCGAACTGAAGATTTCGCTTGGTACATCAAGCGATCTGGTTTCTATAATGGCAGCATCCCCTTTAAAGAAATCTTCTTTGGGTTCATTATCATGTTTAACACACTGATCCCCTTGTCGCTGTATATCAGTCTCGAGATCATCAAGCTCGGGCAGCTATACTTGCTCCAGGATGCGGATATGTATGACCCGATATCTGATACGCCCATGGTTGCGAACACGACTACTATTCTCGAGAATCTGGGTCAAGTCAGCTATGTCTTTTCTGACAAGACGGGTACTCTGACGGAGAACATCATGCGCTTTCGCAAAATGTCGGTCGCTGGTGTTGCTTGTCTGCATGATATGGATGTGCAGAGAGACCAGGAGGAGATGCGCCGACGAATTGAAGAGTCGGAACGACCGAAAAAGGGTAAAAGCAAGGCAAGCTTTTCTGCGGCAAAGAATACAGGCCATGTCAAGACTTTCGACGGAAACGATGATACAAGTGGAAGCGGATCTCGACCAGAACCTATCCGAACCATGTCGACAAGATCTGCAAGCCATTGGCAATCCACTGTCAACACAGCTGAGAACGCCGACATGAAGACGGAAGATCTGCTGGACTACATTCAGAGGAAGCCGAACACTGCTTTCTCACGAAAGGCAAAGCACTTTTTGCTGTGTATTGCTCTTTGCCACACTTGTCTCCCTGAGAAGACCGATGATGGCGACATCACATTTCAAGCTGCTTCGCCTGATGAACTTGCTCTTGTTGAAGCTGCTAAAGATCTGGGATATCTGGTCATTGATCGACCTGCACAAGCTATCAAGTTGGAGGCCCGAGACGCAGATGGTTCTCTGTACACCGAGACGTATCAGGTGCTGGATGTGATTGAGTTCAGCAGTAAGAGGAAGAGAATGTCGATCATCATTCGCATGCCTGATGGACGTATTTGCGTCTTTTGCAAGGGTGCTGACAATGTCATCATGCAGCGTCTGAAGTTGAGTAACCTTGCTGAAGAAACTGCAAGGAATATTGGTCGTCGGTCAAGTCAACGAAGAGCTTCTCGGCAGGACCAGGCTTTGCAGCGGATCAACTCCCAAAAGAGCGTCAGTCCTTATGGTAGTCCCTACGGAAGCCCTCGCAATAGTTTTGGTTTCTCCCGAGGCGAATCGTCCAACCGAGAAGGCCTCAGATTGAGCTTGGGACGACGTTCAACGGATCTGAAGCGCCTATCGCAGCAGCTTGCTCGATCACCTCGCACTTCAACCGAAATGATGAGCCCTCGACAGAGTCTTGCCCAGATGCCCTCATTCGACGATGCTGAGCGTAAGATTGACGAATCAATGGCTGCAAATGAAGGCGCCGTGTTTGAGAAGTGCTTCCAACACGTCGATGACTTTGCCAGCGAAGGTCTTCGTACTCTCCTGTACGCTTACCGCTACATTGACGAGGACTCTTATCGCACTTGGAAAGCAAAGTACAGAGAAGCCGAGACAAGCCTGGTCGATCGCCAGGAACGCATCGAAGCCGCTGGAGAGCTTATTGAGCAGAGGTTCGAGCTTGCGGGAGCGACAGCAATCGAAGACAAGCTTCAGGAGGGAGTCCCAGACACCATTGATAAGTTGCGTCGCGCCAACATCAAAGTCTGGATGCTTACGGGTGACAAGCGAGAGACGGCTATTAATATTGGTCATTCTGCTCGTGTGTGTAAACCTTGGTCAGAGGTTTACGTTCTCGATGCGACTTTGGGTGAACTGAAGGAGACGATTACCGCGACTCTCAATGATGTTAGCCGTGGTATGGTTCCGCACTCTGTCGTGGTTGTCGATGGACAGACACTCGCTAAGATCGACGAAGATGATGAGCTGTCTCTTCTGTTCTATGACCTTGTTGTACGTGTTGACTCTGTCATTTGCTGTCGAGCTTCCCCTTCACAAAAGACCAACCTCGTTCGCTCGATCCGAAGATACGTGCCCAAGAGCATGACTCTGGCAATCGGTGATGGTGCGAATGATATCGGTATGATCCAAGCTTCTCATGTTGGCATTGGTATTTCTGGTCGCGAGGGTTTGCAGGCCGCTCGAATTTCGGACTACTCAATTGCTCAATTCCGATTCCTTCAGAAGCTGCTCTTCGTTCATGGCCGATGGAACTATATGAGGACCGGCAAGTATGTGCTTGCAACTTTCTGGAAGGAAGTTCTGTTCTTCATCGTACAAGCTCATTACCAGCGCTACAACGGATACTCTGGCACGTCACTGTACGAATCATGGAGTTTGACCGTCTTTAACAGTGCCTTTACGTCACTTCCTGTTATTCTTCTCGGTATTTTCGAGAAGGACCTTCGTGCAGAGACATTGATGAAAGTGCCAGAGTTGTACACTTTTGGTCAGAGGAACCTCGGATTCAGATTCTCGCAGTACTTTGCATGGATGTTCATGGGTGCTGCGGGGAGTTTTGTGATCTGGTATTTTACTTGGTGCGTTTACGATAAGACGTTCTATGATCGGGATACCAGTATCTTTGCTATGGGCATGGTTAGTTTCACTGTTGCTGTCATTTTCATCAACATCAAGCTCTTGTAAGTTCTCCGATGTGCATTGTTGAGCTGTACTAACTCTTGCAGGATCCTCGAAGTACACACCAAAACTGTCGTTACCTTTGGTGGCTGTCTGATATCTGTCGCTGGCTGGTTCTTGTGGATGCTGGCCATATCAGGCATCAAACCCAAGAGTTTTGGTCCTTACATTGTCCGCGACGCTTTCATCGACAACTTTGGTCGCACACTACAATGGTGGACGCTCGTGTTGCTTGAGCTTATCGTGCTCATCGTCATTGATCTGGTTGTTCAAGCTATTCGACGAGTCTACTTCCCTGGAGACCAAGATCTGATGCAACGAATTGAGAAAGATGGCAATGTGGACAAAGTCTTTGGAGACGGCAAAGACGCTGAAGAAGGCGACGGTGAAGCAGAGAGAATTCTCTCAAACCAGCCAACGCCAGGTGTTGACAGAGTACAAGACAGAAGACATCGCGGGAGCCACGATGATTATCAACCGAGGTTCACAGCGACTGCAGAAGAGAGGGAGAACCCAATGGAGCAATGGCGGGGATGAAGGAGTTTCTTTTGTTTAGGTATATCCACGGATGATTAAGGTGCCTCTTACGGGAATGGCTGGACTACAGGCGCTGGAGTTGGAATGGGATTGTGAATTGGTTAGTTATAGGGAGCGTGCGTATGACGTATTATTGCATTATTATAGTGTATCGAACGAATGAATGAATAGCCCACCTCTCATTACGAAGGCTTGCCATATCTCGATGTTATACGGGGCTCCCCGCTTCGGTAAATGTCTCCCCGATTCCCCGGACTTATCAATTGGTCCTGTTACATGAGACACGCTACGGTGAGCTCTTCCGTCATCATCAATTCCGAGTCTTCCATTCCGGCCGCTAGAATTAAGGTCATCGGTGTGATTACCGAAGCACGTGGAGAAAGGTCAACAGTGACCTCGGCGCAAGGTAAGATATCTACCGTGCCTCTTTAATACTACGTCCCCCAAAACCCAGACAATGTGATAACTCATCGTCATTTTAGTCTCTGTCTTCATTTGTTCGCCATAAAAAATAATCGAAATGGGCGCTGCTTGTCCTCCGGCGACACAACCGCCGCCGCTGAAACCTGTTCCTTGCGCTTCTTCGCTACATCCGGCATTTTTCACAGACAAGTTCCGAAGAGCGCCAACTTCTTTGGCTACGGGATCGGTTGTTAGTCCCGTGACGCTGGGATATGTGTATCAGGAAAGTGAGAGAAGGAAACCGAAGCTATGAGACCATAAATGGAGGATCGGAGACAAAACCGACGGTTTATTTTACACATTTGGGTGATGAATACCCAGCGACGAAAGATGAGACGCCAAGAGTTTGAAGCGGTGGATGCTTACGACACTTTTACACGATTACGACAACGTTGAGAGATGGATTGATATGGGGGTATCAGTTTGATTGAAAAGAGGACTTTGTTGCATAATTATACCCTTTTGCCCGGGTTGTCCGTCCCATCTGTTCGCCTAGGAAATACACAGTTTCAAACGAGAAGGAAATAATTAAAAGGAATGGCTCCACGCTCACAAACCCTACCTTAACCAGACCCATTCTTGACGGCGATCACAATAGCCATGATGATGAGGAATACTACGAGTGCCAAGAGTGCCATGAGTTTGACGTTCTTCCACCACATCTTGCGCTTGAGGCCACGACTGCGCACGCGGAACTCTCGTGCGCTACCACCGAGACGGTCCGTCTTGTCAACCAGCAAGTCCAGCCTTTCGCCGCGCTCAAGAAGACTCTCAATGTTCTTGGTCATAATCCCCCTAACATCGTCGATCTCGCGCTTGGCGTTTCCGATAGCGTCGTCGCGACCTCCGCTTGTAGTACCGTATTCGATCATAAGAGACTTCAGTTCCGAGTTGAACGATGCTGCGCCGTAGTTGGGCATGTCGGAGAAGTCAGTGCTCTCGGGAAATTGCTGCAGGAAGCGCTTGCGGATTTCGAAGAGATAACCGAATGGTACGCGACGGCCGAGGGATGAGTCGGCGATGACGAGGAATGTTAGACCGCCTGCGGAAGGGTAATCGCGATGTTCAGATGGAGATTCGGAGACATAGTGGATTTGGTGTTGGCCGTGGGTGTAGGTGAGCTTTTGAGGGTTTGTGTGCTCGATCTTGGGGAGGATGAGGGAGGCGAGGGATGAGGTTTGGGAGGAGGCCGATGTTGTGCATTCTGAGAGGATCGTGGTATTGTGCGCGATACAGGAGCTGAAGATTGTTAGCTACGTTTGTCAATATTGATGATGATTGACGGACTAGAGTAAGGGAGTTGCAGGAGTCGATGACGACGCCATGATGGGCGAGTCTGCGTCTGTGTTGATGAAGTGATTGAGTGGTGTTGAAGATGAAGGCGATTCAAAATGAAACCACAAGACGAGGCTGAAGAAAGAAATGGAAGCAAGGTAACCAAGATAATTAACCCAAGTCAAGTCAAGTTAGAGTCAAGTAACAAGTCTACAATGACGACTCTGGTCGCGGCGTCTCATCGTCATTCCCCACTCTCATGCGAACAGGCGGAGGCCGGCGGAACGAATCTCCGTCTCATGGGAATTTTTTGAGACGGGTTTTCATATGATGGCAAGACTCGGTCGCATTCGCCATCGTGCAAAGACACGGTCATTTGACGATTCTTTTTTTTCGTTTTCAAGAGGAGCATGTTTGGCTCACTCTCTTTGTTTTAATAATGAGTTTTTTACTCCGGGCTGGAGCTTTACGAGCTCCTATTGTTCCAGTAACGAGAAGGACGATATCAACCTCACCAAGACTTTCAAGAGTGCTACATGGTGCAACAGCTAAGAGGAAACATGGACCGAGCAAGGTCGATGCGAAAAAGGCTGGAGAGAAGAAGCCTGAACTTCCTCTGAAGCCAGTATGTTCCTATTTTCTTATTTTTGAAGACAATACTTACCAATTTTAGGTGACCAAAACTGATGAGAGAAATGATACGAAAAGAATGAGATTCGGCATGGACAAAAAGTCAAGTGGTCGACATGGAATGTTCCGATCAACTGTTTTGATGAAATTTAAAGATGTCATGAAAAACACTAGCAAATCAGCCGTGTCGGCTGCGGGTGTAGGGGAGGATGAACTCCATCAGCAAGCCTCCATGTTTATGAACGTGCTAGACTCAGCATTCGACATGGCCGAACAAAATATCACCGACCGAGTCAAGAACCCCCTATTCTGGAATCTTCGCGACGCTTTCATCTTGAAGGATATCAAGGGTCTCACAAATGAGATTCAGTACTCCTTCCAATCATTTCTCATTCGACAGCGCTTCTCAAAGGGCTTGGAGGAGAGCCATAAGCGACTTTTGGACTTTCGGTTCCCCTATGAGTGGTTCCCTGCGACGAGAGCCATGCAGCGCACGATCCATGTTCACGTTGGACCGACGAATTCCGGAAAGACGTATAGAGCCTTGAAAGCGTTGGAGAATTCGAAGCGAGGAGTTTATGCAGGGCCTTTGCGTTTGCTAGCAAACGAGGTTTATCAGAGACTTACGGCTAAGGGATTGCCGTGCGCGCTGCTGACGGGAGAGGAAGTTCGTTTGCCGGAAGATACGGATACGTACTTCACGAGTTGTACAGTCGAGATGGTTCCCTTCAATGACCGGTTTGATGTTGCTGTCATTGATGAGATTCAGATGTTAGCTGATCCGGACCGTGGCAACGCTTGGACAACTGCGCTGTTGGGTGTTCAAGCGAAGGAGGTTCACCTTTGTGGTGAGGAGCGAACTGTGAGTCTGATCCAGAGTATTTGCGCAGGTATCGGCGATAAGTGTATCGTACATCGATATGATCGCCTTAGTCCTTTGGAGCCCATGAATGATGCCCTGGATGGTGATTACAGTCGTCTCGAAAAGGGAGATGCGATTGTCGCATTCAGTCGTCTGAACTTGCACGCATTGAAACGAACGATCGAGAAGAAGACTGGACGACGATGTGCGATTATTTACGGATCTTTACCACCTGAAGTGCGTGTTCAGCAAGCAGCGCTCTTCAACGACCCCGACAACGATTACGACTTTATCGTTGCCAGTGACGCTATCGGCATGGGTCTGAACTTGGAGATTCGACGAGTTATTCTCGAAGCAGTCGCCAAATTTGACGGAAGTCATAACAGAATGCTCACGTACCCTGAGCTGAAGCAGATTGGCGGTCGAGCTGGACGATATCGAACCGTTCGTAACGCCGCCGAGGCTGGGACAAATGCCGACGTTGCTGTTGAGGAGGAGACAAAGGTTGGCTATGTCACAACAATGGATACCCAGGATCTCAGGTCGGTTCATCGAGCTTTTGGCGCCAAAGTCGATGACATCGAGGCTGCGTACATATCACCCCCGGCTGCTGCTATCGAGCGCTTCTCAACATACTTCCCCAAGGGGACACCTCTATCGTTTATCCTCATGCGCATTCGAGAGCTAGCGTCTGTGAGCAAGCAGTACAGAATCCACATCTCTCCAGATAAGCTAGAGATTGCCGATCACATCCAGGATATCCCTCTGACGATCTATGATCGACTTTTGTTCACCAACTTGCCCATAAATGCACGAGCTCAGAACGCAGTACCTGTTCTCCGAGCCCTCGCCAGGATCGTCGCCAACAGCGAAGACGGCGGACTTCTCAAAATCAAAGAAATACCCCTGGAGAACCTTGAGATCGACTTCAAGACGTTCAAGGGCACGTCAATGGAGTATCTTCACCGACTTGAATCACTACACGCTGCTATCAACCAGTATATCTGGCTATCCTACCGTTTCAGCGGCTTGTTCCGCGATCAAAAGCTAGCATTCCACGTCCGATCCCTCGTCGAAGAAAAGTTGATCGATACACTGGAGAGACTTGATTTCACAGAATCCGACCTCAAGGGCTTCCGATCTCGAAACAGAATGGAAGCGCGCAAGACAACAACATCGCGTGAGGAGTTGGGAGAGACAGATCTTAAGAATCTTGAACAAGAGTCGGATGATACACCAATTGGAGATGAGCTGGACTGGAAGGCAGCTGCTCCGACGTCAGGATGATTGTATAGTACATGACATGGCATATGAACGGCGTTGGATTGGGACGTATAGAGATTGGTTGGATGTAACTTTATCATTAGAACAATGTATCACCACAGTTGTACAATAGAGAATGCGCACATGAAATATCATGGTAAATTTCCGCACGTGCCTTTGTTTCATATGAGTGTTTGCAACATGTTTGTCTGATGCTTCTGAGACATGCAGTGCGTGTATGCACCTTAGCGTTTAGGCAGCTGGTCTTTATTCGCCAATTTTGAAAAGGTAGCCTACAATATCAGGCAGCAGCCTCTGAATAGCCTTTGTCCTCCACTCGTAATTGACTTTTCGTTTGACCTATGAGTCAGATCATCTCCTTTAATTGCTGGTTGTGGTTGTTTGTCCAAGTTGTAGCCAATCGAACCTCTCTCCTGAATCTAGAAATTCAGGGACCGTAGGGCTCCCGGATTGCTCCACTTGTCGTCATTCAAGGGCACTGACCCCTGTCAGCAGCCTATTTAGAGTGGGCATCTCAGCTGAGCGAGGCTCTCCACTTTCTTTCACGCTGACATCTCTAGCTCCAAGCTTTAACTTCAACTCCTCATTGCTTCTCTGCAGACAATCTCTCTAGTACAGCCAAAACCGTCTCTACAGTCACGAACCAACAAAAACTGTCGGATCGTGTGTTTCACGACAATCACAATGGAGTCGTCGAGCGGTCCTCACCCCTCCTTCGCCAACAACGCTGTGCCATCTGCACCGTACGTCCGTCGAGCACCCAGCCCGCCATTCATTCACATCCCACCGACAGGACATTGCGGAGTCTCTGCTGCACCCATCCTCCTCCCATCGTACGAACAGGTCGATTCGAGTCAGCTGACGGCCCACGATGTCAAGATCATCACACAAAACATGCAGCAGATCGCGACAGATCGCGCTGCAGATTGGTCCTACGAGCAGCGACGTGACGCCCAGAAGCTAGTGGACTTTTTGTACCTTGGTCCCAATAGCATCGCCAAGGATATCAAGTGGCTGCAGGAGGAGGGTATCACTATGATTGCTGTAGCGAGGGATGCGCGCATGGCGAGGGTGAAGCTCATGAGTGTTGAGAAGGCTGCCAAGACGCTCAACATTGAGGTCCAATACGTCGATCTGGAAGGCAACGATAAGCTGATCAGTTGGTTCCCCGACATTATTCGGCTGATCAACGACCATCTTCTATCCGTGTATCACAGCCAAGCCAAGGGTCGGAATAAGAACGGCGAACTCCTCGTTGATCCAAGCTCATTCCGCCGCGGCAAAGTTCTCATCACCTGCGAGACCGGCAACGACAGGTCAGCCGCCATCGCTGCAGCCTACATCATGGCAGTCTTTGGAAAGGACATGATAACTGCAGTTCAATTCATCAGCATCCAACGATTTTGCTGCGCTTTCGACGAGGACATCAAGCGAAAGCTGCAGTGCTGGGAGGACATTTTACGGGCGCGCTCACAAGTCGCTATGGAGCAAGCTGTACCCCCCAACGCCACACACACGAAGCGACACATTGACGATTTGATGGACACGAGTGAGGATCCTAACGACAAGGGGGAGTTTGCGCTGGATCATGATCGGTTCAATGGACGAGGATCGTTTGCGCCTTTCGTGGATATGTAGAGATCACGGGTTGATTGATTCGAGATAGAGTAAAGAGGCATGGCGTTTTGGACTGGTTTAGATACCCTGTATAATTATTGGCAATGACAGCTTTTTATAGCTGATGCATCTTACGGCAATGGGATTGTTTGTTTTGTATTCGATGTTTCTCAGGTCTCAAAGATGTCGAGGGGTCTTCGGCTGTATTGCTTATAGAGCTAGACTATAATCTCATAATATTGTCTCGAACTGTGCCTTGTTCCGCTTCAAATAGGTTGCTAAAGGATGAAAGAAAGATCGAACCAAGGAGTTCCGGGTCTAGTCTTTGTAGCATTACTTGTGAGAAACAGAATATACATGATGTCGAGGCCAATGAAGCTTAGTGAAGCCATAATCAGAAGTGAATTGTGTATTCCTCGTATCTCTTTCACCAATGCCTGAAAGCCTACAGTGTCCGGGGCTTGACTTTACCTCTGCCTAACCAAGACTCTGTTATAATAAATAAAGCAGCAATATCATTCTTCTATGAAAGATGAAAGAACCTGTTATCTCGAGTCGCTTACTAGCATATTATGAGCTGATTACTTACACTGCTAAATCTGTGACTGACAGCTGTAGACACCTGGCAGTGAACAGACAACTCGACCCTGATGGGGCAACTAGTTCTTGAATCATCGCAGTTCATAAACGAACAATTGTGGATTACAGATTGGCACAGGAGTGTCAGTTGTCTGTCTTGGTTGTCTTTTCGGTCCCCTGATTGTCTACCATCTTCGCGTCCTTCATTCACACACTTCAACTCAACACTTTCTCATCCTCTTCTCATTCATTCTTGATACACACTTTGCTTTCATCACTTACACCAAGAACTAAAGAA